AAGCCGCGGCGCCGCTCGCTGCGGGCGGCCGGGGCTCTCCGACGGGATATAAACACCCTGGTGCTTCTAGGAGGGTGGGGAGGGGCAGAGATGCTCCTTGATAAAGAAGGAAAGAAAGAAAGAAAGAAAATGCAGCTGGTGCTGAGGTATCTGTGAAGTGTTTCTGCTGGCCTAGGGAGACAGGAGGGGGGAATATGTGTGGAAAGGAAAGCAAATACCTGGAGTGTCACAGAGCCGCCACTGTGAGTATGCGGGGTGATTTCTCAGTTAACACAGGCTTAGCTCTTAGCCTTTGGACTAAGTGCTTTTGCCTGTGAGAAATTAAAATATTAAACTAAATATAATGTAACAAGACATAGTATTCCAGGGTGTGTTTGGTCATCTTCGCAATTCCCTTTTAGTACTGACAGTACTGTCTAGAATACTTGCAAAAGAGTCATTCAAGTTCTAATTGTATACATTAAATTAAATATGCAACCCTTTCTCATAATTAACATTGAAATTACTGATATTACCTGTGTGAGCAGAGGTCACAGAGGGCTTGCACTCAGTTGACAGTAAGATGGCCTTGTTAGGCCTTGTTATATGACTGGCTGGTAACATTTAACAATATTAAATGTGGTGAGATATATGATATTTTAGGTGAGGAATCCTGTTTTCAAGTTTCTGAGGATCTGAGTTAGGTACATAGGTGAAGGACGTCCCATTTAGTTCTTAAACACACTGTGGCAAGCTTGCACATATATCCATTCCTTGGTGTGATTCTCTTAACATTGAGCAGTTACTTAACCCACTGGAAAGTACCTGAATTGGTTCCCTATCAGATTTATGCGCCAAGATAGTCTTTCCCAAGATAATAAAGATATGATTTTTTATGGCCAGCGTACAAAAATAAAGCTTTCACTTACTTTTTGTATGTATGTGTTCCCATTTGCCCTGTTTAGCCCTGCTAACATAAACCTCTTTCTTTTGCCGTAGACTGAAGCTTTCTCTGAAGCTTAATGCTCAAGATGAAGTTCTTACTAGTGGTCTCCTTTTTTGTCTTGTTCTCCTTATGGATTGAAGAAGTCTGTTCCAAAGAGAAATCTTCAAAGAAAGGAAAGGGAAAAAAGAAGCAGTACCTATGCCCGTCGTATGTTCCTTGTTTCTTTTATGTTTTCATATAATGGTGATCTTGACATATTTTAGCGGTGGGAATTACATGACAATTGAAGTGGAATGTGATGCTTTCCACTGAAAGAACAATTTTGGGGGGAGACTGAGAGGAAAAGGGTTTGACCAGGGACATATCTGAAAGTTCTGTCAATGAGCATGTTTGTTCTGCAGCAGGTCCTTTGTTTTAATGAAAAGAAAAATCTAAGCAATAGTAAATAGTTTAAAATGGCCATCAGTGATTCCAACCCAGTATCTCGCTGTTTTTATGGACGTAGTAGAGTGGCCTTATAATAGTGTGTCTAGCATCTTACTACGAGTATACCAATAAAAAGAAAGAAGATCCACAAGTCTGATACTGAAATCCGTTTCTGGTTAGCTTAGTTCTGTAACAGAGAGAACTTGTCCTGCTCCTGTTCTTATTACATGTTGAACTAATGTATTCAGCATCTTCCATTAATAATTTACAGTACTAGAACTTATATAGAGGTGGATTGATGGTTACCATAAAACATTCCCTTATGGAATGTCTCTGTAAAAATACAGAAATTGCAACCTCTGATTGCCCAACTGAATAGAGAACATATTCAGGACACCTGTGATTACTTTACATTAAAAAGACTTCCACTCTCTAATGTCCACCATGTTTTATGTTGTAAACTGTAGGATGATGCACAAGTTTTATTTGTGGGGACTTTTGTTGTCATTTTCATAGCCAGCCTTTGGTCATCTTTTTAGTGTTATGGTGAACCTAAGAAAAAGATTGATGGAATATAATGACATAGAAAAACACTCTGCCTTAAATGATAAAATGGCTTAGACACATTTAAAAGATTTCTTTTTAACCATAAAAGAAAAGACCATTGCCATAAAAGATGAGACCAGCTAGTTAGCCTTAGTAGACTTTTTCCAAAGAGAGGGGGGGAAAAAGGCAGAAAAAAACATATTCAAGCAATGTTTACATGATACTTTTTAAAGTTCCCACTCTTCTTAAATATTGACAGGGATTTATAACCAAAAATTTTTAGAAAATTTTTTACAGGGGGTGGGTGGTTTTGGTCTTTTTTATATCAACCCCTAAGAATGAGATATATCTTTGGATTTGAAAACCTTAGGTTACAAGTCTCAAATATGGTACTAATTCATCTGAAATATCCTATATCCATTCTGTCTCCTTTGAACATGTAAGCTGAGTTATGTGTAGAGCTTTCTTTCTGAGCTATCATAAGGGTTTCTAACAAGGAGAGAAATGTCATTATTTCCAGGACAGACATAGATACTGAGTACTTAGAAAGTGAGTTACCCAAAGTCCTCCAGCTGGGAACAGAATCCAAATTGTCCATGTTCTCATCCAGGCAGTCAGCATTTTCCTTCTCTTCTTGTCTTGACCTTAATCAGAATTCAAAACATTAATGTTGTTCCATCTTGATAAGTTTTTCCCTCCCCTCCCCTTAAGTGCAGTATTTCTTAGTCCTCTGTTCCTGATACCTACCCATATGTACCAGTTAGTTTTAGGACCATTGAATATGATGTCGTTTGTCAGCACTATACTTGAAAAGCATTAAATAAATGCTATAATTTTCTAGGTGATATTTTAAATTGCAGCCAGGTGAAGCTTTCTGTGGAAATATTAGCAGAATCCAGTATTTGTTTGATGTTTGCCGTGTTACCAGTTAGAAATAGTTGCCATAGCCTTACGTCCTATCAGATTTTTTGAACAGTGAACAAATTGTCTGTATCTCACTTGACTGAAGCTCACGGCTTGAGAGACAATCAGTAATAGCGCAGTTGCAGGATAGCTATTTTTGTGGCTGGCATCTAGAAGACTGTAGCGTGAACGAGCAATGAAAGTGAGTTGTATCTTGCACAGAAATTGCCTAATGCTTTCTTTGCTCAGGCTACTGATGGGAAATGCCAGACTTCCAATCATAAGCATAAACCTGGTGCTACCATTTAGCTACAAAATCCTATAAAATGCGTATATTTGTCAAACTAACACACCTGTGAAAATTGAAACTAAATATTGCAAAATACTTGTGCAGTCCTAGAAACAAGAACATACAACCCAACAAAAAAGCTCACAGCATTCCCCTTTGTTTTTATAATCTTTAAGGTGCACTGTAGATTCACACAACTTCTTTAGCTGATCCCAGTGTACATCATAGAAAAGGCTTTCTACTCTTAATATTTTTTTCCTGTGAAAAATGTAAGAAGTCTTTCCTCAGAAACAAGCCAAAAAGCAATTTAGTGGAGAGAGAATTAAATGACAATATAAGGGCTATCCAAAACTGATTTCAAAGGAAGTGACTGAAAGAAAATTGTACTAGTGAAGTGCAAATGAAGTATTTTCAAAGAATACTTTGTTTTTGAAGAAAGTAGGTAGCATTTTGCATCATGTATAAGATTGAATACTACACTTATCTCATGAAATCATATATTTATAAGTTTAAATGTTGATCTACGTTTATTTTACACTAGTTACTAGTGCAATAGCATTCAAAACTTTATTGTAACAAATTACTGCCTTTTGTGCCCTTATAAAATGTGGAACGCTAAAATCTGCCCCTTCAAGAAAAAAAAAAAGGGAATTATACAAGGAACAGATTTCTCTTTACAAACTTTATAATGAAATTCAAATGTACACAGCTCATTTTCCAGGAAAGCCTTGAATCTAATATTACTGTGTGGCTTCCTTGGTTGGAGAAAGTGTATACATGTAGTTTGACATTCTGAATTGGATGGTTATAAGAGTAGTTTGGTTTTTGGACTTGAGCATGGATTTGTTTGTATGAAAACTAAGCATACCTGATTTTTTACTTTTATGCATATCCAGAATACAGAGTTTTAGCCAAAAAATACCCTCTGGCAGGCAATTACCTACTATTGGAATAAGCTGAAAACAAGCTGAATAGTTTGTTATTGTGTCATAAGCAGATATTTGCTCTCCCACAATTAGGAAAATTCTATCTTGTTTCTTGGAGCAAGAACTCTTAGTTGTGATTATTCATGACCCTGTGCTTCTGTGTGCATTGTGTGATAGTGGCTTGATTGGCAATCCCATTTTCATTTGTTTCTGAAACAGTCTTTTTCCCATTTTTATTAGGAGTATTCATGAAGCTGATGCATAATCAGTTGTTCTTATTCTGGTTTAATAGATAGGTGTAAGATTGCACGTCTTCAATTTAAATCCTCTTCCTTTTTACCCCAGGCTTTCCAAATGATACATAAAATGTTTATACTAGTATCTGATTTTTGAGTGTTCATTGATTAAGAAACAAATTGATATGTTGGACCTAAAAGACCATAATAGGGAGTTCTGCTGCATAAATATGAGAATTGGTTGCCACAGATGCATAGTGTAATAAATTATAAACCTTTACTTCTCCAAAACTATTGCCTTTGTCTCCAAGGAAAGGTAAAAAATAAAAACCAAACAACAAGTCAATCTCCTCCAAAAACCTTTAAGAATTTTATAGGTTACTGTCTTCTTGTTTAAAAATTTATTTTGAAATTTGTTATACTGATTACAGATGGTTTTGACTAAATACAGATTTATTTAGTGGCTTGATCTGATTCTTTATTGTAGACTATCCATAAGCCCTGTTACCTCCCTTTTGTACCAGTTGCAGGTCAATACATGTTGTGGCATTTCTGCTGTAATTTAACAGTCAGGAAGGAATGGAAAATATGAATTGGAAAGTTTGGTAAAGGTCTAAGTTCTGGAAAAGAATATGAAACAAACAGTTATTTGTAAGTATTAGAACTCTTAAAAGGACTGTGTCATGTAGATTAAGCACAAGTGTGACCTATGTGAAAGTTTCAGGCAGCTTTTATCAGACAAAACTAAATATTTAGTTTAAATGATTATCCCAGGCACAGACAGCTTTTAGAATAGGTGTGTATTGCATGCCTTTCAGTACTGGCATTATTTTGCAAAAGTGGCCCAGTGGCACCGAAAGTTCTAAAAACTACCCCATTTTAGTCATGGTGGTAAGTACAGTATGAGTGTTGTTGAGCTGAAGAATATGTAGATTGGCATGTTTGGCATGGAAGATGTAGTCAAAACAAAGTTTGTCTAATGCTACTGTTTCTCCTAGTGTAACTTCTTCATGATTCCCCATGATACCCGCTTCTGGTAAACACATTAGACACTCAGCTATAACTTTTTCTAAGAGTTGAAAAATGCTTTTCCTTATGTTATATCGTAATAAATACTTCCGTTTTTTACGATAGTGCTCCAGCTGCTGCCAAGATCTTTGGTAGCCTATAATGCCTTTCCTCAAAAATATTTGCAAGATCTCTAGACAAATTAGTAGAAAAGGAAGTTTTGTTATGACAGTGTTATGCAAGGCATAGAGATGTGAGAGTGTCAGATGGCAGCTAACAAAATCAGTTGCTACTGTGCTCACAATCACAACTGTTATCCCTGCTAACTATAGTTATAATGACTCAGCTGTTCACTCATACACTGTTAGTTGCTGAAGATCCCACAGAGAGTCTAATGCTAATGCAATGCTAAGAGTATAACCGCAATCACCGAGTCACATTCTAGTGCCTTAATCTTAAGATTCTGCTTTTAAAATAGCATCCCTCCTCACTTTTATGCATTTTTTCACATAAGATGGAGATTTTATCCATGTAGAAGATTAAATAAATACTGCATGATTTTTATAGAGACTTCTTACACAATACCAAAGCAGAAGTACAATTTGTCTTTTGGCTTGTATTCAATAAAGCATATCAGCTGCTTCAGAAACTGTGAAATGGCCCTCTAAGCCCTCCAGAAAATGTGGTTTGTGCCATCTGCCAGGGCAGGAGCTTAGAAAGGTCACAGGTGCCAAGGTTCAACAGAGAACAGTGATTTGGAAAAAAAAACTTTTAGTATGGTTAACATAATACAGTTCTGTGAAAGTCTGTCCTAAAATTTCTCTTGGTTAACTCCTAGCTTCTGACACGCTCTCTCTGTATAGACTAAAGCAG